TTTATAACACCTTGCGTTATAGTGACAGTATCGCCTTATTTGGGGCGAAATCATAATAAAAAAGAAAAATGTACTTACTGTATTTTAAATAAAAGCATGAAGATAATTCATTCAGTAAATATAAAAAAAAATAATCAGTAGTTTTTGTTTATTTTTAGTAAAACATTATATTTTTTATTATTGTATTATTTATAATTGTCCTTTTTGCATTGAAATTTTAAATGACATGATCGAGAATGTGAGATTTTCTCCCATATATTCATGATTCTTCATTGGCATTATCATTTGCTGCTGACATGAATTGCAAAGATTATATGGTAGAAATTTGTTGCTGCTAGGTAAGTTAGTTCACTCCTCGTACTAGACATTTTTTTTTCTCGACGGACTCTATCTTACATATTTATAAATGTACCTTTGATATTGTCTCCATACCTGGTTTGGATCTCCTGCTATATAGTAAGAGATTCTTGATAAAACCCAAAGAAGAATTTGCAATTGTGTTGGTCCCGACCTGGCATCTCGGCTTCAGTCAATTTCAATCTAATGTAGCCTCCGGGTGTCTTTCCCATAAATATTTTCATGGTAATTGTTTCGATGACCTTTCCTTTTTGTACCTCGACTTTATTTATGCGCAGTACTAGATTGGCAGCAAGGTCTGAGCATTTTAGAGTTGAAATGACTAGATGTAACCGTAAGTTCTATGCTAATGGTTTCTTCTAAAAGACTTCTCGTTTGTAGAACTATCTTCTGGCTTTTTGCTTTCCAGTGAATTTTATTCTTCAAAAAATTGAATGCAATGTGAATCGTTATCTTCTGTCTTTTTAATTTCTGTTCTGTTATTGTTCCCTCTCCTCAATAGTATGTTTTTTTCTTCTCGTTCTGTAACATACAGTAACTCATTGTGTCTTAGTGGCTTTATTGCCTTGTTTGGGGTTAAATGATTAAGAAAGTATATATTTTTATTTGAAAGCTAAATCCAATGCGGTAAAACACAGTAGGTCATCAGCAATTTATAATAGGTAATATTACATAATCTTAGGTAACATTAAATAATCTGGATACAATAATTTGTGTCAGAAGGCCGAAGCGGAAGTGGAAAAAGCCTGGTCAACACTGTCTATCCTACACCTAGCTAATCCGACTTACGACCCATTCAATCTAACAATTTCCCTAATCACTTCAATAACCGATCCTTCTCCAGCTTATCCAGTATGTACCACAATACCACATCTTCGCAGGGATCCTAATAAAAGACTAAATAAATTCTTCATATATACAAATATTTTATCCCTTTTTCAAAAAAGTTTTTACTAAATTATTTTAACATTTACACAAAATATGAATGCATGCTCTATTCTGCAGAATCCAGAAGCTACTGGCGGTCGAAGGACAAATCAATTTGGAAATGCGGGGATATATTCCCAAGTTGGCATCTACGCGGATGACACTACAATTTACGGCTGCCTCAAAAACAAATCTAGTGTCGCTGACAAAACTAACCTGGCCGTGCGTCTCGAAAAGGACCTCCAATCGGTTGGGAACTGAGGCAGGAATTGGCTGGTCAACTTTAATGCCTCAAAAACAAAACAGCTCTCTATTAATGACCACAGAGATCCTTCCCTGCCCCGCATGAAATTGCCAGACGCTCAACTTCTCTCTGCGGCTGCTCGGTCTCACGTTGCTTCGTCCACCGCAAGGAAAGTTGACTCCCTTTGCCGCGCAAATAAATTTTTTCTCCCCGGATTCGATCCTTCAGATCTACAAATCAAACATTCACCCTTGCATGGAGTATTCCTGCCATATATGGTCTGGAGCCCCTTCTGTTTGCCTCGGGGTTCTTGATAAGATCCAGAGGCGGATATGCAACGTAATTGGCCCTGCTCTGGCATCTCGTCTACAGTCGCTTCCTCACAGACGCGCCGTCGCTTCTCTCTGTCTTTTTTACAAATACTTTCATGGTAATTACTCCGAGTAGCGGCATTCGCTGGTTCCCGGATTTCATGAATTCAAGCGCCCTACGAGACTGGCATCCCGCTCTCACCCTTTCACTGTTGAAACTATTAAATGTAGCCGTCTCTTCTACTCCAATAGCTTCATATCTCGCACCTCTCGCCTGTGGAACTCCCTTCCCTATTCATGTTTTCCTGAGAGCTATAATCTCCAACTTATCAAATGTAATGTCAATCGACATCTCCAGTTGCCTTGATCTATCCACTATCCTTCTCCTCATCCTTTCCTCTATCACTCCTATCTGCTCTTGCTCCAAATCTTCTGTAACCCCTTGCATCCTAGTGGCTTCCCGCCTTGCTTGGGGTTAAAATTTTAAATAATAAAATATATATATATATATAAGGCTGATACAATCAAGATGAGAAATGAGGATAAAAACTGCGTAGATTGGGGGCATAATAAAAGAGAACGCCGGTCACCAGGCCGAGAACGGCAGTTACTCAAATTACGTAGGCAAGCAAAATGAGACGAGCTTAACCAGGGATTTGAGCCGACAAGAATTCAAAATCATTGTGTCTTTAGGAGACTTAAAAAAATAAATCTAGAATAGCCCGATTCACGCGAACCAGGCTCGCAACTCCCACCCAACATTTGCTAAAATCTTCCAAAGGCATATGGGTTCTTTTGATCTTCATTTTGAGCTGACGCCCAAAGAATCCAGTCAGATCCTGATGAGAATAGTGTTCGTCTCGTAAGATTACGTCCACCATTCTTGTCACGGTTAGCGGCGTGAGAAAAAATAAGTGTTTAATATTATCTGTATATTTTTACTTAGTTTTACTGATAACATATATCTAGATAGATTGGACTAAAACCCATATTTATTTATGGATGGGAATATATCTCCCACATATTATAAAGATTATCGCATGCAAGGGACATCTGATGAAGGTTAGAGAATAGAATGACTGTGACGAAAAAGAAAGAAAATTAATCATACAAGTCTGAAAGGACTGTTTTGTAATAATGAAGTGTCAGTGTTTAAAATGTTGATGGATACAGATAGACACTTATTCTTCGTTTGGTTGAAAAGATGACAAAATATTTTTTTAAAGAGAATGAGAGAGAAATCGTGCGTTTGGTAACGGGTACCAGACAGTAACAAAAGTTGAATAAATAAAAAAAAACATGTTAATGTAATTTTAAAAAGAAAAATCACAAAATTTTCCATAACAATAGCTCAAGAGTCACGATCTAAGAATATATTTTTTTATAAATGTTATAGGTCTTTTGTTTACACACGAAAGCGTTATGTTTTCATTATCATTCTCTATTATTTCCTGTTGTAAACCATATAAAACTATATATATATATATATATATATATATATATATATATATATATATATGCACACACACACGCACACACACACACACACACACGCACACACACATATATATATATATATATATATATATATATATATCTATATATATATATGAAATTATTCGGAATCCTCAAGACATTTTATTCAAAACTTCTTTTATTTTCTGATTCATATCACGTAGACGCTAGCGTTTTCTGAACAACTTTCCCCATCTTTTTACGCCATTTCTATTCTAGCTTTGCATTCCACACACCCTAACTCTTAATATGTGGACGCCTACTCTAGAGCGACTGACTAAAAGTTACTATCGCCTGATTCTTACTATCTCAGTGAGTGTCTTCTCTTGTGGACTTAAACCAGACACAAATCACCGCTTAGTTGATTCCAAAGAGCCCCTGCTGTAGAGCGATGCTTAGCGAGCAAATTCTTGCCAGGCCATTGCCCCTGTGTATAGTGAGTAAATGAAAGCGTTTTAGTTTTGGAAGCGTTGAAATTTACCAGTCATTTCTTCTTCCGTTTAAACGCTGAATGGAGGTTCTTTTCGAGAGAAGTTGCCAATTTTACTTTGTTGGATTTGCATGACTTGTTACTTGTTTAAAATAACTTGGAGACATTTGATAGACTCTGGAATTGCATATAAAAAGAAATCTGAAGTGCCTTCTGTATGCAAATTTATATATATATATATATATATATATATATATATATATATATATATATATATATATATCATTTAACTTGTCAGCAGTCAATATACCACATAACACCCTTGAGCGCTTAGCTTTGGAGCGGGTGGAATGGAGATCAACGTGTTTTAGTGGACTCAGCAATTTTCAATCAGCTTATCTGAATCATCTTCAAGAAGCGAGAGCAAGATCTAAAAGATCAGCCAATCTAACAGTGATCTCATCTCACAATCCTCACACTTGCTCCATATGTGGCCTCCTTTGTAAATCGCTAGCGGGTCTTGAATGCCACTTAAGATTATCGCACAAAATTTCATAACTGAATCAAATAAAATAGATCCTCATACGTCGAAACCGACGGGAGAGTCCATTATTATATATCATTTCATTCTGTAAAATTCGGTAATCAAATTTAGTGCATTGTGCATAATATATAAATATATCGTCAAACGAATGTAATATGTATCAGGGTGATTTGGGTAAATATTTTCTTATTGAATCCATATTTTTTTATCATATAATATATATTATTCCTGACTCCTTAACTTAAAGAAAAATAATACCGTAGAAAAAAATAATCTTTTTCCATGAGAGCCTGCTGTCATCTTTTAAAATGTTTCATAACGATAAAGATGGCGATCACTAAACTCCTATTACCATCATGGCTGTGTCATTGTTTTGTTCGTAAAGATTGAAAAGCAGCCGACATTTTTAGTAATCTTAAGGGAAATAAGTGGAAAGATCTGGGCCGATAGGTCGGTTCAAAAAGTCAAAGAGCTAATTTAATTCCAAGTGAGGCGTAATTACGTTTTCTTCTTACGATGTACTTTATCTAGAGGGAGAATTTAGCTTCATTTTTGCATCCGTTGCTTGAAACGTCAGATAGGGATTCGCTAATCGCGAATTTGATTGGACAGTTTAGTTTATTTCTGTTTATTTATTTCTGATCGATCTTCCGTGAAGAAAAGAAAAGGCACAGAACAAAAGGATAAAGAAAACATATAGTGAAGAAGAAAGAAAGGACTAAAAAAGAAGAAGGTAAAACAAAAGAAGTAAAAGAAGATAAAACGAAGTAATGGCGGAAAGAAACGAAGACAGAAAAAAAAAACAGATAGAGAATAACATGTAAGTAAGAGTAGTGGGAGGAGTAATAAGGAAACAGTTGAAGAAAGAATCATAAAGAAAAAGAGGCTAACACAAAAAAGAGGAAACTATAAAAAAAGGGGGGGGGCTTGCAAAACATGAAACGGAGAAAAGAACAATGAAAGAAGTCGGAATAGCCGGTAGGAAACGAAACAAACAAAAGACTGAAATAGAAAGTCAGCAAGGGAAGAAAAAAGAAATAGAGAACGGAAAGCCATTTAAGGGAAACTTTTAAAAAGGAGACGCATATACATATAAAAATAGAATATAGAAACAGGGTAAGAAATGAAACTAATTTTTTAATTATATTTTTAGGTTTAATTATTCAGGCGATCATCTTCATTTTTAATCACTATTAAAACGCGTTGTAGAATTAAACCGGAAATAGGATAAGAACACTGTGAAACAAAATGAAACAAGAATTACGATTATTATGATGCTTCCAGAGCGTACAATATATATTCACAGGTATTGCAAAAGCATTTGAGAAGATGCAACAAAAACATTACCGAACTGCTAAGTAAACTTCGTTTGATTGGTTAAGGTATTAGAATGATATGAAGCGTTTACTGGGAACACTCCGCCTCTTTAAACATAGAAAATGAATTGAGCACCTTCGCAAAAACCAGAAAGAGGCTTACGACAATCATTTATATTCTCAGTGTATTTATTCAACTTCAACAGCGAGGTGAAACTAGCAGAAATAAAAGTCCTACGTGGATCTATTATTAGACGACATAATATTAACAAAATAAGACACTCGGTTGACACTATGTTAATGGAAGACTAAGAAATGAAACTGTAGGGACACCCATGTGATAAATGATAGCGAGAAAAAAATGGTCTATCAATTGTAAGAAGACAGATTGGATACTTGATAGCAAATGAGACATTCACAGGTGCTAAAAAGAAAATTGGCGACATCAGAATCGAGGAAGAATAGTAATTTATCTACTTGAAAAGGAAGAATAGTTATTTATCTACTTGAAAATTTGTGCAATATTTGACTAGCGAAAATGCCTTCCTGAAGCTAAACAAAGAACCAGAAAATGTCGGTAGAAACAATGAAAAGACAGAAAAAACGGTTGTATAATATCAACATCTTTATATGGTTAGGGAATGCAGGAAAAGCTCTTCACAGATCATGAATAGAGGTAAAAAAAATATGTTTCTACGGAAGAATGACGAGAATACCATAAGCGGAACATGTGAGCAACGATGACGTTTTAAGAAGTATGGAAATATCAAAGACGATCTTACTGAAAATCAGAGAAGGATACTTAAAATGTTTTGGTTACATAATGAGAAAAGAGGACTTGGAGAAAATGAGAGACATTGGAAATACGAAAGTCAACATAGCTTGGGTAAGTGGATGTCAGAACAGGGACTAAGGATTATTAGCAAAGACAAACATTGAAAATCGGTGATCAAGTATAATTACTTAGTTATTATGATGCTATTTGAAATATATCCTAAAATTAATGGGGCACAAATAAATAAACTATCATCTTTTCTTTAAAGTTATATGGCACCGTTTTATTTAAAAATGAAACAACTATGCTAGTTCCAATTTCATATACCAGTAATAAAATAGAACAGTATAATGCTTATAATAATTATAATATTGTAATAAAAGTTATGTGTTGGATAGAAGATTCTTTCTAACAGTAGATCTTATTAGACACAATAAGAGATTAACAACAGTATTTAATAAAGCAGAAAAATTATAACGATATACTGACATAAAAGTTATGTGACGGATAGCAATGTACAGAAGAGAGAAAAAACTGTAATAGTGAAAGTTAATTTTGGAGAAAATAAGAACGATTTTGAAAACGGTTGAAGAGAAAAATGGGGAATTTAAAAAGAAGCAAACGGAGAATGACAGAGAGAGAGAGTCTGATGTACAGAAAGATCTGGAATTCTCAATCGAATGTCTGAAATATCTGAACTTTGCTATAGATACTGATTCTTTAAGGAATTTCTGGCATATCAAAATGTGCAAGACTTACAGAGCATCATAAGGAGGATATGGCAAATCTCAGAGTAAATGTTTGTTATCATCAATTTAAAATATTCAAGTCATTGTACTGTACATCCCAAATTATATCTGGAAATCAAAATGGCCGTCTTTGTAGACAGGAAACTTTATCCTTTTTATTACACGTCTCGTCCTATAGAATTTCCGGTAATATTGATGTTTTCTAAAGTTGTCAAATACCTAATCGGACGAGGCTCCTTATCTTGGTTGTTATGACAAAATTTTGTGTAGTACGTTCTGGACTTCTGAGAATAACCATGTAAATTGCTTTTTGAAATATTCGGATTAATATTTAATTTGTATTGATTTATACAAATATTTCTGAAACTCTGATATTTTATTGTCAAAATTATTTGGAAACTAAAATTGAAGGATATTTACTGAAAGACGCTGTGTAATTGAGAAAATTTGACAAAATTAATATCGACTACAGGTTACAAATCAAATATAAACATATAAAAAACTAAATATAACGATTATCTAATCTAGCAAGGACCTATATTTTTATGTTCAAAAACACATGCGAATACACACATACACAATAACATATACACGTATACATACTTTCACTCTCTCTAAATTCTATTTTTATTTCCGGAGTTGTTTTTTTCTGTTTTCTTTTTGAATTTGTAGGTCTGATGAATTGGATCGTATTTACGATTCCAATGGAATAAATTATCACCATGGAATATTAGTGTTTAAGCCTTTTTATTATATCCTTACTCTGTCCTAGACATTGAGTTTTACCTGGATACTATCCTCTTGGAATTTTTATTAAAAAAATATCTGTATGTGTATGCACCTATGTATATATACTTATGTAGGTGTATATTTACCATTAATATTAGCTATATATATATATATGTGTGTGTGTGTGTGTGTGTGAGTGTATATGCGTTGAGGAGGTGAACATCCTAAGTAACGCGTTTCGTCCCTATTCAGACGAATAATGGCTTTAGTAATGGAGTCAGTCTTAATTATATATAAGTGAGGAAATGAGTATCGAACCAACATACAGTGCTACCCTCTATCCTCCCAGATTAGTTACACAAAGTTAAATAACCTTATCCTGGCAATCACGACGTGCACTCTAATACAAACTTGATAAAATACCAACTCCAAACTCATGACCCTAAAATTATGACTAATACAAATTGGAGACCCTGAAAATAATTATACCAGAAGATAAGTATTATAGATAGTGTTCCCTTAATTATCTATCCAACACCTGTTCATACTAAAGTATTTAAAGTGTTAATATCTCAAATGAATAACACCTGGATTTGACATTATATTTATCAATTTCTTATTCGATTTCAGATAGCTGAAAATCATTAGAACGTCGAATGGTCACCAGTTTGGCTTCTGGCCTCAGAGAAAAAAGAATTTCATTTGATGATTACAGAAAGTGAGGGGGACTTTCTGTAATGAACCACAAGGTTTGACTAAGTGAATTAGTGTAAATACACATAGTTAAGTAAATAATTAAATATTTCACTTTAGAAAGTTGAAAAAAGTGAACCATTGAAATGAACTTCTATATGTCAACAGGTCTCAATATAAAATCGCTTTTCAAAGTAATTGTCATTTAGAGTATTGAGAGTATTAGATTGACATATAGGTCTCGTCATAGTTTCAAGTATCTTCTCTCTCTCTCTCTCTCTCTATATATATATATATATATATATATATATATATATATATATATATATATATATTTAAATCTTTATAAATATTTCAATAGTTAAACATTTTTAGATATAGTTAATTTTTTTAATTTCTTATTTTATTTTTTTAAGACAACATCTAAGATATTATTACAGTTAGATTTACGTTAGGAATGTTCGTTCCATGTCACGTGACGTCCGCATCTCGCGATGGACGATACTTGTAAACAGACAGTTATTTCTAAAGAAAGATTGAGGTCAATCTGAAATATCAAATATATATACAAATAAATAAATACTTTCATAAAAGAACATTATTATTGTTTTTTAATTTGCAACTTTTCCTATATATATATATATATATATATATATATATATATATATATATAATTTAATTATTAAAGGGATTATAATAAAACATTTTGAAATCGCTACACGAAAGCTTTCACGTTTCAATAATATGACTGTAAGTCTGCAAACGATGGTAAGTAACTGGTGATTAAAATGATTTTTAAGGAAATTTAAAATTAATGTGTTACAGCTTTTCTGAAAGATAAAGGGGGTACATAAGATTAGATTTCAAAATAGACTTGTAGGTATGTCTTGAATATCCAATTAAATGTAAGATCTACGCTAAATAGAAAACTAAGCTCAGTGTGTGGACGTGAGTGTGTTATTTTTCATGTCATGATAAACCGATTGTGGAAAAATTGTTAGCGACATATGTATCGTGAGTGTAAACAAATATGACATAAACCAAATAAGGCAATTTCCCGTAGTGGGTGGACCATTATATACTAATAAATTATGGCTATAAGAAGTCGTAATATGTAATTCTAAAAAAGGATAAAAGATGAACTGTATCTGCAATTTACAGTTAATTCACTCCTTTAGTTTACTAGAGATTTTTTTCAGCAGATTTGAATATTTTTAATTTTTCATGTGAATATAAGTAGCACGATGCATTTAAAGATTTACAAGTTTTAGATTTTTTTTCAATTTTGCTGTAGGGGTTTTATTAAATTCTTTTAAGTTCCAAACGTATTTAGAAAGGGGCATCCTATTTCTGTACGCGTTATTAGAAAAAGATACTACATATTGGAACCACCTAGGTTTAAAAGAATTCTTGGTACAACTGATATAAAAAAAATTGTTAGCTGTTGGATTTTCTATAGAAGAAATAATGCTTAGGTAAACAAGAAAGTCTGTTTGGCATCTGTTTTGTAATGGACATTCGTTAGAATTTCTACAATTACACTTGCTGATATTATCTCGGTTTGTTGGTTTGGAATGACAATTATTACTCAGATTTTATGTTTTTCAATAATTTTTTAAAGATTGTCGGTACAGGTATAGCTTAGTTTTATCGTATTTCTATTAAAAATCATACAAAATGGATTATTTCTGGGGAAGTGTTTCTCAAATAAAATTTCTGCCCTTAGTGCTAACCATGGGGCTAAATATTACCCCGATTTCGACAATTTTTCTTGTTACACATATATATATATAT